AGCTCTAAGGGCTTCTTTCAAGCCATATAAGGCTTTTTCAGTTTGTATACCTTATGCTCCTCCCCAGCAACTTCAAACCCTTGAGATTGCTCCAAGTATACATTTTCAGTAAGCTCTCCATGAAGGAAATTATTTTTGACATCTAACTGATACACCACCAGACCATGATGTGCTGCCAATGCAAGAATGGTTCGAATTGTATCCCATCTTGCAACTGGGGCAAAAAACTCAGTGTAGTCAATACCTTTTTTCTTAGTAAAACCCTTTGCTACTAAGTGAGTTTTTCTTTTATCTAGAGAACCATCTTCCTTCTGCTTTGATTTCCACACCCATTTGCAGCCGATTGGGGTGATTCCTTCAGGAAGCTCCACCAGATCCCAGGTTTGATTTCTTTATACGGAATCAAACTCTTGATTTATAGCTGCTCTCCATAGAGGATCATTGTAGGCCTCTTCAAATATCAGTGGCTCCTCAGTCAGTGCCATGATTACTATCCCATCTGTGTCTATAAAGTTGCAGTCATAGATGGGTAGATGTGATGATGGATGCCTGACTCTAGGTGGTAGTCCCAGCTCATCCGTGTGAGCCCCAGAATCTTCCTCTTCTGATTCATTTTGCGTATCAACCCCTTCTGTTGTTTTTTGACTTGGCGGTTGATCAATTTCAGTTTCAGCATCATCTGTCTCTCTTGCAGTGTCTGGCTCATCTGCAACATCTCTGTATCAGAATCATCCCATAGATCATCACTTTCTTCCCAGACTAACTGTTGGGGACTGTTTAATCAGTAGAATCATCCCATCCATGGTTCAAAAAGGTACACTTAGGCACGCCTAGACGAAAGACAATAGTAAAATGCCTCGCCTAAAAGTTTCGCGCCTAGTTAGATACTGGAACACGTCAATGGAGTAAGTCGACATCTAAGTCTCTCCTAAACATAACTAGATAGAGTTAGGAAATCAATATTAAAGGAGGAAATTAACGTCAACTACGAAATAAATTTTCTATATCAATATTTTCAAAAGCTCAAAAACTTTGTTGGCTATTGAGCTATGATTCTATGAATTCATGAGTTATGTTATTGTCATTAAGTGTTGAGTAAGTTATAAATCATTTTAATTGAAGTGAGGAAGAGTTGTAGGTTATTATTCCGTTCATCATGCAGTGTGAATAGCTATTTTTCTTCCATCGCCTAAGCGAGCTAGGCGCAAGGCAAAGTCTCAATGCCCACTTATGCCTAGCGCCTTATTGAACCTTGATCCCAACCATGAAGTTCATCGAAGACCACATCTCTACTTACTACTATTTTCTTTATAGTTGGATTATAAAGTCTGTAGGCCTTGAATTCACTAGAGATACCCAGAACTTGGAACTTGGAACTCTTGTCATCCAGCTTCTTCCTTCTCTGGTAAGGTATGTGAACATAAGCTACACAACCAAAAAACCTGAAGTGAGAGACTGAAGGTGTGCTGCCAGTCCATAATTCTTGAGCTAACTTGCCCAAGTTAGCTGTTGTAGGACACCTATTAAGAACATGGGTGGCCCAAGTGACAACTTCAGCCCATAACTGAATAGGAACATGTGTATCTCGTAGCATACACCTGACCATGTTCATCACAGTTCTGTTTTTCCTCTCAACCACTCCATTTTGTTGGGGTGTGAGTGTTGTTGTCAATTGCCTTCTTATTCAAGCCTCCTCACATAGTTCTTTGAATTCGCTAATCATGAACTCACCACCCCTATATGTTATGAGACTTACAATCACCACCCCTAATCATGAACTCACACCTGACCATGTCTCAAACTTAACAAATAGAAAATGACCCATAGTTTGTTACTAATCATCAGTTAAGGTAATAATATACCTCTTGCCACTGGTGGAAGCTAGTGTGAAAGAGCCACACAGATCTGCATGGAGTAGTTGGAGCTTTCATGAAGCCCTCCACTGACTTTTCATTGGGAAAGAATTCATGTGTTGCTTTCCAACCAAGCAAGTTGAGCAGATCCCAGTATTTCCTGTCAGTTGAGGCAACCCTTGAACTAGCTCCTTCTTTTGGATCTGTTGCAGACTCTAATGATTAATGTGTCCAAATTGCCTATGCCACACGTCTAGATCAGATTTTGACATTCCTCACCCAGTCTACAGGCGTTGAATGTTGTGGTTTTTTGGTTGATGTTGACGGTAGTGCTATGTAGCACAAACATTCGGTTGGACTTCATATGTGTATGCAACAAAAGCCCATTCCCTTCACAAAAAACTCTGCAACACCCATCCTTGATCAAGAAAGAGAGAACCTTCTCCTACCACTGACCAACACTGAGCAGGTTTGTCTTAAGCCCTGGGACATAAACACATCCTGCACCACAACTGATAGTTGGTTGATCATCATTTTCACACTGCCTTTGCCAGCCACATTGATTTTGGAGTTGTTCCCCAGTTTGACATTACAGGTAAATCCAATATCCATCTCAGTAAACCATTTTTGCTCCCCAGTCATGTGACTGGAGTAGCAAAAGTCAAGAAACCACCAATCAGAGTCCTTGTTTATGGAGGCATCCTCTACAAAAGCCATGAAGCAGCCAATTTCCTCCTTCTCTTCATCACCAGTCGGGTATTCAACTCGAGCCATAAGAAACATATCATCCTTCATATCTCCTCCATATGACTGATTATCTTGAACATAAGAACTGAAGTAATAAGGCTGTTGATTGTTATACCATTCTGGACACTCATATCTGTAGTGTCTCAATTTGTGGCATTTGTACCATTCAACAACCTCTTTGTTTAAGGTGAAAAACCTCTACCTCTTCCTGCTCTGCCACCAAAGTCATGAGTGGTTATGAGTACCTGATCCTCTTCTGCCATAGTACTTTTTGTGAATTTTTGCTCATGAACAATGAGAGAACTCTGAAGAGAATCAACAGATAATTCTGCAGTGTTCCTGGACTCCTCAATTGAACAAACCACATAGTTAAATCTTTCACTAAGGGTCCTAAGGATCATTTCCACCTTTTGGACATAAAGGCATCTCATGACCACAATTTCTCATGGCATTACCACATTAGCTATGGTCATAACTCTACTAAAATAACCATTCACAGACTCTCCCTCTTTCATTTTAGTAACCTCAAAATTCATTCTAAGAGCCTGCAGATTTGACTTCTGAACCCTAGCATTTCCTTAATACTTAACTTGGATCTCACAAGTCTTTGGTAGTACCTTTCTTGGATATTGTCTTGAGGATGGTTTTGTCAATGGAGCTGAAGAGATAGTTCTTGTCTTTGAGGTCCTTCAGCTTCAAATCTTCCAATGACTTTGTATCAGCCTCTGAGAACTGCTCATCACTTCTGTCTTTGTATCCATGTTGCACAGCATGCCGATACTCCTTTGATCGAAGCATGCTTTCCATCAGAAGGCTTCAGTGGTCATAGTCACCATCAAATCTTGGTAAACCCACTTGAGCAAAGCTGCTTGATTCACTCATTTTGTCAATTTTCACAAGATCGTCTTGAAAACTGATCTTGTCACTCACTCGGTGTTTAGGATTTCCTCACACGGTCTCTCGTGTTTCCCAAACCCAATCTGTAATTAAAACCAGTATCACACTCACTCAAACTCTAACTCTGATGATTGCTTGAAAGCCTTGGTTACAACTTGCTTGTGCTTTAATACCACAATGTTAGCACAAATGTACTTGCAATCTGACAAAAGTTCTATTGAATGGAAGACTAGGGTACTTATACTTTGTTTTAGCCACAATCATTGGCCTCCATGATGCTAACCACTAACTTAATCACCCTATAAATCAGCTAATACGACTAACAATAGAGCTAGAAACACTCCACAGCTCTTAACAACTCGACAGGACTAAAATGACTCAAACAGAAACTTTAAGGACTCATTACATAATAAACCAAACGATGTCGTTCTTCTTTATTGACACATACATATTTAAATGCTTCAACCTTGGCACACTAACTTCAATCCTTCTCCTGATAGGATTCATATTTCCAATCCCCGTTGCAGGCCAATCTTCAATCTTCAACACACAATTGCCCATTCTAGATTTTCTCTTCCAAAAATATGGTGTTATTATACAAGAAAGCATACGTTACAGAATTATATACTACAATCCCTATAAAATTATATTTCTTTTCTTTTCTTTTAATCATATCTAACGATAGTAAGATTCATTAATAGACAAGAAGGGTTGGACTGGTAGTACGCACCCCTCTGTCTTTTTTGTTTTTATTTTTTTTTACACGAAATTCAAATGAGAGAGGGGAACTTTTATGACAAGTCAAAGACTACTTTTTCTAATCTCTCATTTTTGTTAATCGAGTTCGTAACTATTTTATTCTAACCTAGAGTTTAATTTTTTTTTTGCACAAAAATAACCATTAATTAAGATCTAAATAATTATATCCATTTTGTTCTATTTTGAGCAAACAAATGAGTTTTTCAAAGCATATGTTGGTTGTAGTATTATCACTATAGTATCTATATGATCACAGTGACATGATGATATATCTCTTTCGTTTTAACTCAAATTAAAAAATAATCTGTATAGAAACAATTTATTAATTATGCTCTACACAATGATATCCATATTGTTATGTTTTGAACAAAAGAATAATTATTCATTCAAAAACATGTGTTTGCTATCATCTTATGACATGGAGAGGAGATAACGACACTACCAGTGCATTTTTGGAAGAGAGGATGCTTGCTCGAACAACATCACTTCTCTTAAAGATAAGAGATCGAGTAGTATAAAATTCATAATTGATCTTCTTTCCGTTACTCTAGTTATTGAAACCAAACGATTTATGACATGATATTAGAACTGATTTGGCCAGTGATCGTGTGTTTAAATCTCAACAACACTCCATACTAATCACTGATTTAAGCTTAAATTATAGTGGACCAGTGCAAATTTCAACCCCATAAGTTGAGTTAGTAAGATCTATATTAACATTTTCCCAACAACTCAAATCGAGTTAAACAATTAAACGATTTATAACATGAAGGATGGTAACTACCTTTGAAAAGAGTCGAAAAACAAAATCTCTCTTTCCAAATTACCTCTCTTGAAATACATGTTTAACCAATCTCATGACCTAGGTCTTCTTTTCCAATATGTGCTAAAGTAAAAATTACTTGACCATGATGTTCTCCCACCAATAAGAAGTTAAACCATAACGCCAATGCGAGTTCGAGAAAGCGTAAGAAAAGAGTAACTCCCTTGCTCATTAAGTATAAACTTGGAACTAATCATGATATGCACAGCACAGAAAGGAAACAATGGCGGCCACTGAAGAAGAAAATTGCAGAAATTGGTAATTACTCATATACATAGATGCCTTCTTCAGTGGAAGATATTAGAAGCAAAAGGCAATCAACGAGGGAAGGAATATGCAAATATGTCACCCAGGTCACAATGAGAAAGGCTTGGAGTAGACATCAAATGGCTCATTTGCAGTCAGCTGTGGCTCCTGCAAATCAAACAACAACCCAGCAGCAGCAGCAACATCCATCAAAACATACTTCACTACATCCTTCCAAGAAAAACCATAGACAGACAGACAGATAGATACCTGTCTCAACCCGCTACCAAGGCTCCCTCCGGCTAGCAGCATGGTGAGAAGAGAAGTAACGATCCCACCACCATCTAGCTCATTACTCGTTTTACGAATGGTGGTCCGCATCGAATTCAACATGTCGCCATACGTAGTGCCATGCCCGCGCTCAAGCGCTTGAATGAATGAATATGTCATTGCCCCTGTCGAAGTGACCTTGGATAGAGCCTGCTCGATGAACGGAATCCCATTCTTAGTTTCTTACATGATTACAACTACCTGTATGCAGAGCAAAATTTACTCTCTTAACCAATTCACCGCGATATATCAATGGCATTACCGATGTGTCAGCAGAGGTTTGATTGTCATCGCAGCCACTGAAGGACACAACTTCTCCTCCACTCGTTCCTTTCCACGCTCCCGATCGCGGCCTGTGATCCTCCCACACGTACTTTCCACCCCTGCAACAGCCCAGGTTTCTCTAAATTAGGGATTGGCCACCACTGAGAGACCAGCATTCATTTTACTGATCAAAATATTATTACCTATCCATTCTGCAGAGGAATGGCAAGTCCAAAACGGTGCCGCTGTGGCAGGCGTCTACAATGGCGTGGAGCTTCACTCCTGCGGGGAGTGGCTTTACGATGGTCGCATTGATCTCGTCATCAACGATCGTACCTTGGGTTTCGAAATCCGTGGGGCAGAGGGTTTCGTCGTACCCGTCGACCTCGTCGCCATTGTAGTTCCTCTGCTGAGAGCCATGGCCGGAGAAATGAAACAGCAGGGAGTCTCCCGGTTTGCAGCCTTGTACCAGCCAGTACAACGCCATTCTCATGTTCCGCTTCGTCGGGATTCTGTACGGGTCCGTTTCTTCCTCTGCCAAACAAAATTTTCGTGTTTCAATTGGAACCCAATTCTGATTTTGCCATCTTTTGACAAACCCTAACCGGAAGGAAATCGGCAGACGAATTCAAAACAAGGAAAGGAATTGGGGGAAAATAGTAAAAGTAGAAAGAATACCGGTGAGGAAGACGATGGAGGATTCAGGGAACTTGAATCGATTGATCAACAGGTACTTCATGCATTTGGCGTCGTTAATGCATCCCTTGAGCTCGTGCTTAGTCTTCCGGTAAGAGATGCCGCAAATCACGGCGCGCTTGGTGCCGTGGGCGGCGGGTGGGGGCCCCGGTGGCGCGTGGTTGTAAGGGGAAGGAGAAGGGCGGTTGGAGAGGCGATCGTTGCTATTGTGTTGCTGAAGAGGAGAGGCGGCGGCGGAGCGAGGCTGGGCGATCAGGGTGACAGCGTGGCAGATGGCGCAGCGGATGGATTGCGCCGCCGGCGGTAGCTGAAGAGGAGTCCGGCAGTTTGAACAGTCAACCAACATGTACATGGTTGGCGGCGACGATGGGGCGAATCGGAGAGAGAAGGAATAGCAGGTGGAAGCGAAATGGAAATGAAATGGCGGAATGGAGAAGGTAGGGGAAGAGGATTGGCGATTGGAGAAAGACGAAGTCAACGAAATCGGAACCTTTCGGCCGATAGGAGAGGGGAACTGGGAAGGAACGCGGAGTAGAAATGAGTTGGAAGATGAGTAGGTGTGGGGCCGGACCATAGCTAAGTCTGACAAGTGGCAATTCTTTTTGTTCTACAAATAGTGAGCAGCACCCAATTCCAAATTATAGTAAGCTATGTTACAAAATAATTACTGCCGAACACGCCATTAACGAGAATTAAATTATTTATTGAGTGTCACGTGATCGACTCAAGATAGGTGCATAACCATGGGTTATGCACCCATCAATAATCAAATATGGACTCTTTATTTAGAAGATTCAGATCTAAAGAAGTGAATTAAGATCATTTTTATTTTTTCTAGTTTTCTTAATTGACTCATATCTTTTTCCTTTTAACTCGGATTTTAATTTTTTTTGCACAGATGGAACGAGTTCATCGTGCTCTACAAAATGATATCAATTTTCAATTCTGGCCTCTCGGTACCAACTGCATACCATATGGTATCTTCTTCGTTTTTAATTCATTTTTGAAAAAGTTTGCACAGAAGGGACGAGTTCATCATGATCTATTGGATCTACAAATTTCTGGGTGAACAAATTACAGAACCCAAAAAATACCACACAATACCATACAATACCACCCTGGTATACGGTATCTTCCTCGTTTTTAATTCGTTTTTGAAAACGTTTGCACAGAAGGGACGAGTTCATCATGATCTATTGGATCTACAAATTTATGGGTGAACAAATTACAGAACCAAAAAATACCACACAATACCATACAATACCACCCTGGTACGGGGTGGTATTGTGTGGTATACAATGTTAAAAGTCATAAATGACAATTAATATACTTCTACTACCATGTATTCAACCATCCTACAGTCTTGGTTTGTTCATACCACCATGGTACTTTTTCAAACCATAGGTATGCTTTTATTTCAATACCAGTCAATACCATATGGTATAGACTGGTAAAAAATGGCTCAATTTTTTTTGTTCGAAAAATATATTAAAGTGGATATCATTTTGAAGAGCACAATTAATTTGGTCTAAATGTGCAAAACAATTAAATTTCGACTTAAAATGAGTGAGAAATCGTCCGTCAAAGATTAAAGAGGGGAAAATTAAAGACTTTCCAGGAGAGAGAGGATGCTGATATCATGCTGATGTGGAAGGGTTACTCATGGTTACTCACCATAAGGTTACTGACCTGATCTATTCCCCACGTGATCTACCAGTATTTGGGATATACCGAATACAGTACCAAATTTATCACTATTTGGTATTATCGAATATTGGTTTATTTTTAAGGAATTGGAATTGGGATTCATTTTGGTGTGCTATTCGGTATTCGGATTACGGGATTGGGATCGGTATATACCGAAATACCGAGAAATATCAAAAATTAAAAATTAATGAAATATAACGCACAACCTTTAGTTATTCCTCACTCTTTCACAACTTAGAAGCCCTCATCCAACTCAATTTTGACTTTCTAGTTTAAGTCTCTCTTGTTTCTCATCTAATCTCTTGTTATTTTCATAACACCAAAAAGCTAACATTAGTATTAGTCGTTTCTCCACCTCCAATTCGTCAAATTAAGGATTACCAATGACAAGAATTTGAAATGTCACCTCTCCTCCATTCTCCTTATCCATATTCTAGCTCTAGACAAACTCAAGACTCTTTGCTTAGTCTCTTTGCCCTAAATTAAATAATCAAATCTAATTTATATATTTAATTATTGGTTCAGGCTGGCATACACCTGATGTACGCTATACGCCTGTGTTCACACCTATATATTAATTATTAATTGTCTTTAAATTAATTATAATGATAATTACAATCGTAATACCCTTCAATTAATTGTTTGTTCGTTTTAGTCCCCATAAATTTCTACCATCCATCAATTTCATCATAAGTGAGAAACTGCTTTTCGTGTCCAATTCTCCATCCCTCTATCCCTTCATTGGCGGACCAGAAATCTACGGCTTTCTCCTCCGTCCTTTTCGATCTTCCGAAAAGTTATCTCCCCCACTATATTTTGACTGACCCGCCATCGTCTTCTTTATGATCCCAACTCGCCATCTCACCCTTGTCCAAATTAGACCCCCAATCCTGTACTATATCTATGTTTTCTCATCTCTTCGATTCGAATCCCGTGCGCATTCAACCGTCCGCAATTCGCGATTCATCGATCAAGCCGGTGGGATAAACTAATTTGTAGAAACTTTAAGGAGCAAGTCATAGAGTATTTGAAGCATGCTGTTCAGGAAAAGGTTGTCCCTTTCACGTGATGGCAACTTTAATACCCAGCTCAAGTACGAGAAGAACCCTAAAATCCGAACAAAACACACTTGACAATGACAGTGCCTTGATGCAATGAAAATCTTGATATAGAAAAAGTACGGTTTCTCTCTTTCCCTTGTCTATTTCAATATATATGTGCTTCTGTTAATTGGATGTTATAGCTTAATTCCCTTTCATGTCTATGGAGCTTTCGTTTAGGTCTTGATTTCGTGTTGTATGGTCCCCTTCTCATAATTATTTGTTCTTGTTGCTGATGATCCTTGTGTGATGGATTCATGAAAAAGCACCAGAACTAACAATTATTAAGTAGCATTAGGTTGCATGTGATAATGTATGTTTAGTCTCCATCCACAAGAGCCTCCAGTGAGTCTATACAAGTTGCATGCCTAGTTTGGGTATATTTGATTTCTCTATATGCAGGACGAGCTAGATAATCTTGCCAAAAGTTTCCCTGGCCGCTTCAAAGTGTACTATGTTATGAACCATATGTATTTTCTCTTTAGAATTAATCCTTGTTCTCCTAACTCCCACCAGCAGCAGATGTTCAGTCGATTTGATCGAGTACTCCCCATCACTTTGCTCTTTCTTTCTTATCCCCATTTAAGCTTTGTAAACTGGTTTCTCGTTGTTCTGACCTTGTAGATATTGATATGTGGCAGCTGATCACCTAGACGCTTTTGGGTTTTTTTTTTTTTTTTGGTAGAAACAGAGCGCAAAGGGGCGCTCTAACCCTTAATTATAAACGAATCTCGGGGTTTGAATCCCAATAGCATCGAAATACAACCAGTATCTCAGGTCAGCACCTGGATTATCAACAAAGTGAATACCAACATTTAGGGAATGTCCCACCGAAGCAAGATGATCCGCCACAAAATTCGCCTCCCGAAAAACATGACCAATCGAAACTTCCCAATCCCACTCCAGCATCCGCCGAATGAAGGACACCATGGTGAAATGAGGGTGAGAGGAATCTACTGACTCTATGAGTGCAATAGCTGTAGTAGAGTCTGTCTGCACCACAATCTTCCGATGCCCTCGATCCCAAGCAGTTTGCAATCCATAGGCGATTCCCGCCAGCTCTGCATAGGTGATGGAACCTCCTCCTAAATTCATCGAGTAGGCAGCCACAAAGCAACCATCATTATCTCTTAAGACTCCTCCCGCCGCCGAGCTTCCCTGCGCCAGATTTACAGAACCGTCGGAGTTCAAGCTTATCCATCCCGGAGGGGGACGCTGCCAGCCAATCAACTTCTGCACAACATGACTGCCATTCTCCAGTACTGCCCTTCTGGTGTCAAAAGCCTTCTTACTCTGCTCTCCCAAAAGCCTTGCCATAGTCGGAATTTGCTCAGCACATGCGAGCTTCTCCTCAAAAATCCATGAGTTGCGGTTTTTCCACAACTGCCAACACAGGATCGCATACACTGACGGATCCAAAACTTTGCTCTTGCCCGATAAGTAGTAGAGGACCCATTTCGTTAGATCATCCTCGAAGAACACTCGGTCCGGTTCGTCCTCCAACACGTGCGACCAAACTTCCCTGGCGTAAGGGCAGTCCCGCAGGACATGAAAAACTGTTTCTGGTCCACCTCCGCAAACCTGACATTTGTCGGACTCAGCCATGTGTCTTCTGCAGCGCTCCCCGTTCGTAAGTAGCTTCTTGTGTAGAACTAGCCAGAAGAACGTACGCGTGCGCTGGGGACCTTGAATTTTCCAGATTGACTTCCACGCGGGGTGTTGAACCCGAGGCTCATCCTCATTACGAAGCATTTCGTAGGCTGTGCGTACCGTAAACTTCCCTGTATCCGAGAATCTCCAGATAGGGATATCCGGTTCGACTCCATTCGGCACCGGGTGAAGTTGCAGCTGGAGAACGAGCGCCTCCGGCAGAAAGGCTCGAGCGAACTCCAGGTTCCAATCGCCATTCAGAACTAACTCAGCCACCCGCAAATTACGCGCCTCTTCGGGAAGATCCTGGGCAAAGTACTCCAACGGTGGTCCATCCTGCAGCCATCTGTCCAACCAAAATCGAGTCTGCATACCGCTTCTAACGTTCCACATGGTGCCTTCTGGGATATAGTCTAATACTCGAAGAACTCCTCGCCATAGGTTCGATAACCGACCAGTTCTTCGAGGCTGCCACATACCATCTACTTCCCTAAGATACTTCCCTCGAATCACTTGAGCCCAAAGGCTAGTAGATTCAGTGAACAGACGCCAAGCAATCTTCAACATAAATGCATCATTCATCTTCGTCGCACTCCTCAAACCCAAACCTCCTTCTTCTTTCGGTTTACATATAGAATCCCAGTCAACCAAATGGACCTTCCTTCCCTGATCTGAGCTTCCCCATATGAAACCCCTTATTTTCTTATCAATATAATCTCTGACTGAAGTCGGGAGAAGGGCTGTCTGCATCGTATAAGCTGGAAGGGACGACAACACAGCCTGGGCTAGTGTAATTCGTCCTGCTAGCGACAAAGAGTTAACCTTCCACCCCGCAAGCCTAGCATCAATCCGATCCACGAGCTCGGTATAAGTAGATTTTGACACCCTACCATGTATCACAGGGACGCCTAGATACCGACCCAAATTCTTAGTCTCAGGTATGTCCAGAGTGTTACTCAAGCTTGCTCCCACTGCGCTGAAACGTTCTTGGAGAAGAAGATCCGCGATTTAGGTCTACTGACTGCCTGCCCTGAAGCTGCCCCGAAATCCTCCAAGCACTTCAAGATTACTTGCACTTGCTGCATAGACGCAACGCTGAATAGGATCAAGTCGTCCGCGAAGAACAGATGTGACAGCTTCGGTCCATGCTGTGACAAACTGATCGGCTTCCACTCTCCTGCCTCAACCGCAGCATCAATCAAATGACCCAATCTCTCCATGCAAAGGGTGAACAGATAAGGTGACAGCGGGCATCCCTGTCTAAGTCCCCTGGATGGAGAAAAGGCTTCAGTAAGACCACCATTCCATTGTATCTGCATCCTAGCGGAAGAAATGCAACTCATAGTCATTTCTATGAATTCCGTTGGCGCGCCCACAGCTTCGAGTGTATCCTGGACGAAGCTCCACTTTATTCTGTCATACGCCTTAGCCAAGTCGATTTTCAGGACCATCCAACCCACCCTGCCCTGCTTTGCCTGCATCGAATGGACAACTTCCTGCAAAATACAAATGTTATCAGTAATATGCCTGTCCGGCACGAAACTCGTCTGCGTAGCATGAACCAATCTTGGCATCAAGGGCTTGATCCGCTCTGCCAAACACTTTGTTACCATCTTATATGCTACATTGCAAAGACTGATTGGCCGAAATTGTTCAATCAAAGAGGGCCTCTGGACTTTCGGAATCAGTGCAACGATGGTCTCATTCACTTCCTGGATTCGCAGGGGTGTATGCCAGCAAGACTTCACAAAATCCACCACTGCAGTGCCCACAAGCTCCCAACATCGTTGATAAAAGAGAGGGTTTAGCCCATCCTTCCCTGGTGCTTTTAAAGCACCCATCTGGGTTTACTACCTAAAGTGCAGTTCCAGTTTTGAGAAAAGCTTGCTGTTGGAGATCAGCTTTTTATCGGGTTACCATAGACCAATTGATTTGACTATCAGGAAGCGACGCTACAACTTATCATTTTTTTCTTGGCTTATAAGACCAGTTGCATAATTTTTGAACAGATGTAGCTGATTATTATGAATAGCGGGCCTCCTATTACCCACTTTAAAACCAGATTAAACTCATTTTTAGAACATAAAATATACCCCCAATGTTTTCTCTAAAGATATGCAGGCTATTGCTTATTGATTATTATGTAGTCAGGGAATTGTGCTGGAATACTCTGCACTTCATTAATTGTATGATTAAGGTGAAGGTTAATCTGGTTTTAAAGTATATGCAAATGGGCTCAAGGAAAGCTCTTGTAACTAGAGAATGACAACCAGTAATAGTTCCATACTGCGTCATCGACAAAACTTTGAATCAGTAACCTTAGTAATTTCTTAATACATCACTAGCAAAACTAGGTGACATCACAT